ATCGCCCTTGTGTAGACCATGGTGCGAGATACTTTTAGACTACCTTTTCAAGATTTCCCCGTATCTTATTGAGATCTCATTGGGCTAGGTGCTTAGGGCATGATTGGCTATTAGTTCTACTCGGTTTTGGTCGCTTGAATAGTTTTTTTTTTCACAACTTAATCAAAATCTAACTAAAATTTAATCCAACTCAACTCTCTTAAATTATTAATATATTATTAACGATAAAAAATAATATTTAAATAATATCAATCAATCATTCTCATACATCACATCAACTTTGAATACTTATCGCGTGATTAACATAATCACAAAATTCTTAGATCAAGTTATCCTAACTCGACTAAAGTGAGGGAACCAGATGATACTGAATACCTTACAAATACCATTCAACATATTTAAATAATATCAATTAATAATTCTCGTACATCACATCAACTGCAAATACTTATCATGTGATTAACATATAACAAAAATTCTTAGATCAAGTTATCCTAGCTCAACTAGAGTGGGGGGACAAGATGATATTAGATACCATACCAAATCCAGTACGACCTAAAGAGCGGTTTGACTAAATCGGGTGAACAGACATGTCAGCCGGTCATCGAGGACATTAGAGGATAAAGAGTCACCTGGTCGGTGAAGACATCACAGATAAGAGAACTCACCAAGAATTCGAGTTAGTGCTCTCTGCTAACCTGATAGAAACTCGACTTGAAGGCATGTAGGTCGATGGCATGCAGGTCGATGGCACGACTTATGAGACGAAATTTATCGGAGCAATCTTGTTAAGAGGAAACAAAGTTTGTCGCATAATTGGACAACCTAATGAAATGGCTTAATGTGAACACACTACATAATAGATAAGAACACGTGAATAGGCAGAATCAAGCAATTCAGGCACACGGACAATACGAACGGGTAGCTCGAGCACTCGAGCAGCTCAACTGGAAAGTTTTGTGCAACACGATAACACTCCTATATAAAGTGGTAAAGTATTTTACTCACACTCTACACAATCTAATACACGTACAAGTTATATACAGTTCATCATCTTCTTCACATACTAACTTAAGCATCATACTTATAAGTCGAACAATCCCCCCCGACCGACGCTGTTTTGCAGGTCTTTAAACAGGTCATTTGAGCCGGTCGAGGTTGTTTACACCAACTTGCATTCAAAGAAAATTATAAACAACAAAGGTAGCATTTAAAGAACGAAATTCATAATCCGAAACCCGGATGCATGGTAATATGTCTCATGGGGTGCGACACACCGACCCCACCAGCATGCTCCACAAACTCGGCCGGCGAAAATGAGCTTCTGTGGCAAGCACACACGATGGCGACCTCACTTTTCGTGTACTTGTACAAGAACCCGATCACCATCCTCCCGTTGGGCCCATTTCCCATGGTCGAGACACACGGCATGTGTCTTACGGGCCTTATGCCGAGGCCGCCATCACCGCTAGTTTGCTCCGGCCGAATGGGGACCGAGTTCTTAGAAGTCGAGCAGGTGGTGGTTGTGGCGTGTGTTTGGCCGACATGGGTGTTGGGCTTCAACCCTTGGGGAATTGGGCCACAACTTGAGTTTCCAACTGCGAGATGCGGGCCAAGCCCGGCTTGACACGACGAGCCGTTGCTTTCAATTGAGAGATGTGGGTTGAGTTCGGTTTTAGTAGTTCTGTGATGTAGGCCGCCGGGGGTGCTCGAATGACTTCCAGTGTCACTAGTGCTTCCACCTGAAGTTGAAACATATCATAACATATTATATAAATTAACCTAAATTCAGAACCATACAATGCGCTCTTGGCAACTAATAAACACCACCATTATAACCCAAAGCTTTCATATGTGCCCTAATTCACAGGTTCAGTTTCTGAGCCTGACAAGGATCAACTGAAGTTGTCTATAAGGCTTGTTTAATTAATATAAGGAAGTAACAAGGGTGCTTAATAATTCTTACAACATAACACAGCATTATTAATCAATTGGATAACTAGGCAAAGCAAATAATTGCAACACTGCCACAAATAATATTAGTTAATACAAAAAATCATCACCTTTATTTGAGGTGCTCTGATAATCAGAAACAACAGAAGAACTTTGCTCCAGAGACTTGTTCGAAACAGCGGCCTCCCCCTCCCCGGCCCGACGAAGGGGATCCAGGCGTTGTACCTTAGGGTACAACAAACGGTCCCCGACGCCCAGGACCACATTCTTGTTCTCCGTGAACAGCGAGAGACTCAACTCGTTGTTCTTTTCCTTTCCCCTGATCTTCTGCTCCGAGAGGGCGGCTTTTTTTCCCTTCCCGCGCTGCTCCCTCATTCTTGCCCCCGATTTCTGAGCCTCAGGAAGCGACTCATTCTTATCGAAAAAGCCGATTCTCCTCGATTTGTCGAGCTTCTCCTTCCTTTTCTTGCGGGCCTCAAGCCTTCTCAAGGCCTGAATTTCTCTCCTCCTCTGCAGATCCACGTCCCCGTCGATCGAAAAATCGGATCTTCGACTTCCAAAACAATAATCATTGTTGTTTTTGTTGTTGTTACCATCATTTGGGTCCTCAGAAATTTCCCCTGCATTTTCTGATTTCCCGTATTTGCCCAAGCCTATGGACAATTCCAAGCTCAACTCGAATTCGCCGCCCTTTTTTTCTCCTCCTCCTCCTCCTCCCTCCTTCTTCACCACCTCCGACACTGCAAATTCTTCACCCATTTTATTTATTATTATTATTATTTTTTTTGTTTTTCTTAGGTTGGACTAAGTTTGGACAACGTTGGGGGAGAGGGGAGATAAAAGAGTGATAGGGTGCGGCCACGTGGAGACGAGGAGAGGAGAGTCGCGCTTCGATTGACAGCAAGGATAGAAGGGAGAGGGGTTCGGAGTTGAGTACGGAAATGAAAATCCTCAGTGGCTGCTAATTTCCCGCTTTAATCACAGTCGAGGGGGGAAGAGACGGAGAGCGCGTGCGTGGATTGAATTGATGCTGATACTGCCACGTGCCCTTGAGGGACACACGTGGTGCGAGGGAAGAGGTTCGCTGATTTTTACTGTTTGGCGCGTGATGTTGACGCGCGGATAAAAGAGCGCGACGACGGTCGCGTTGTGGCTAGGGTGGTTGAGTGCCGTCGATGTCAAGGAGGGGTGTGGAGACACGGTGTGCTAGTGGGGCCCACGTGCGTCAACAAAGGTTCACTGCTTTCTCTGTTTTCTACTCCCCTATGAATGAATGAATCTCTGCTTCTCGGTTAGGGTTTAAATTAAAATGACACCCACCCACCCACCATGAATGTTCACCCAACCTGTGTTTGTGTTAGAAAATTTATTAGGGTCTGCCTACCAATCAAAGCTTCAATTTATTGTCTGAAGTTGCTCCCATGTTTTTTTTTTTTTT